CTGTGAATCTCAGTCTGCTTGTGACATCGAGGAAATATTTTCTTCCTTTATTGGAATTTGCGGGTAAGGACAGGTTCCCTGTAACTGAATACAAATTAATTATAGATACGTTTTGATTTGGGGCTTGTTTCGGTGTCATGTATATTTTCAGGAAAATTGTTATTTCTGTTTTCTGTAGGATTCACCATTTCCTCATTCTCCCAGCTAATAATTTTTTTTTTAAGAGATGGGGTCTCGCTCTGTTGCCCAGGCTGGAGTACAGTGGTGCAGTTATAACTCATTGCAGCCTGAACTCCTGGGCTCACGTGACCCTCCTGCCTCAGCCTCCTGAATAGCTGGGACTACAGGCATGTGCCACTACACCGGCTATTTTTTTTATTTTTTGTAGAGACATCGTCTTGCTATATTGCCCAGGCTTGTCTTGAACTCCTGGCCTCACGTGAGCCTCCTGCCTCGGCCTCTCAGAGGCCTGAGCCACTGCGCCCAGCCAAGAATACTTCTTAGTGTTCTTGGTGGAGGCTGGACCACTCTGTACTGTGCTGTTGTGATGATAATAATACAGCTGCAGTGTACCGAGTGCTTAGCACGTGCCAGGCCCTGCGCTAGGGTTCCCTGTGGGACAGTCCATTGTGCTCTTCCAACAGCCTCTGTCCATCCTGCGGAGGAAAAGTGAGTGCAGAACCAGCTGTTAGGTTTGGGACCTGCCGTGCCTTTCCCACTAAACCAGACTGTTTTCCAAACATATTCTGGATTGTTGTATAACGTTTCCTTTGAATAGTTTCCTTCTCTTGAGGTTTATGTTCAGGATACCGTGTGTACAGAGTCAAATTTTTTTCTGTTAAACTCATCCATGACGACATGGGATTTCGCCTGTTCTGGTTACTGATGTATTCTCTAGATCGGTACCTGGTACACAGTGGAGGCTTAAGAAAGACTTGCAACGTTGTAACGTGTTACGTCAAGTCTGATGATACTTGTCAAGTAATCTTCTCTACCCCTCAAGCATAAGGTTGGCTCGTTCCCTTCGGACACTGGAAGGATTACTGCGGTTCTTACTGAGCTCCTTTGAAAATCATTTTTAGGAAGTTATGTGGAGAGGCTTTCTGCATTTCCTGGTTTTAAACACGCCTGTCTTGTTTTCCTTTTCATGCTCACAGGACGATCGCTGCAAGACACCTCTGTTCATGCTGATGTCCTTCCTGCCCGCCTCGGCCGTGCCCCCGTTCAGGTACGTGCAGCAGTGAAGCCGGACCCTCCACCATGTGCCGAATGCCTTGTGCACAGTGAGCAGTGCTGGCACGCGGCCTCTGCCCGTGGGCGGGCAGAGACGATGTGCACTGAAGCTGGTGCGCCACTGCAGAGTCGGGGGTTGTTCTTAACACGGGTGCAGGTCTGAGTGGAGATGTGCTGTGAGTACAGAACACAGAGCCGGAGCCTTGGTGGGAAAAGAACGTAAAATGTCGGTTACATGTTAAAATGATATTTTGGGTAGATTGGGTTAGGTGTGTTATTCAAATTAATTTCACCTGTTTCTCTTAAAAATGTGAGTACCAGAAAACTTCAGATTACACGTGTGGCTTGCTTTTGTGGCTAAAGTGTTGGTTGTTATCTCAGTAGAATTTATTTCTCTTCGTATTTATGAAAAAATGCTTACTGATGCTAAATAAGGATTGTCCCCCAAGATTAGGAACTCTGCTCTAGAATCCAACAGGTGTCCCAGAGGCAGAGGGCACAGGGGCTGGTGTGGCCGGCGTGGCCCAGAGCTGCTGTCTTGCCCTGTTTCAGACGGGGCTCAGCTGATGGGCATGAGTGTGGGAAACAGCTCCCGACCCCTGCCTTGGAGAGCGTTGCGGGTCGAGAGCATAGAAAGGGCCGGTGACCTTCAGTGGTCAGCTCTGGATTGCCCTCACCTTTTGGGAAGTGGGGGATTGTTGGACTAGGAGATCTGACTTGATACCTGTGCCTTCCAGCTGCGGTGTGATTCCCACCCTGAGGAGCCAGGAGGAGGGCACTGTGGACAGGAGCTACTGCACCCTGCTGGATTGCCTGTGCGCCTGGGGGCAGGTGGGGCACGTGCTGGAGCTTCTTGACAGCTGGCTGCCCGGGGAGCACCCCCAGGCCAAGGTATGTTCCCATTGTGTTTCTTTAAAACTTGGAGAATGAGAATAACCACGTATTAGAAATCAGGCTTTTCCAGGGATGTGTGTTTTAGTTGCCAGTTTATGCCTCTCCTCTCTTCCAGAGTAACGCAGCTTCTAAACGTAAAGTGCAGATCCATGACACACGCCCCGTGAAACCTGAGCTAGCCTTGGTTTACATGGAGTATCTGCTGACCCATCCGCAGAACCGCGACAGCCTGCTCTCCGCTCCCCAGAAGAAACTTAACAGCCTTTTAAAAGCACTTGAGACTTCGAAGGTAACTTTGTACCCTGAAAGTTGAGTGAACTCGCGTGATGGCAGAGATGAAGCAAGATGTAGATGTTTGTATCTGTGGTGCTACCAAGTTTTTCTAGCCGGAAAGGAATGAGAGTGATCTCGTCCAGTTCCTTCCATTTGTGGACCAGGACACTGAGATGAGGCTCAGGCCTGGTTCCCCAACCCTGTCTTTCCCGTGTGAATAGAACCTGGGGTTCTGGAAGAGGCTTTGGGGTGCTGGACTCAGGCGGACAGTTGTGTCTCTCAGAGCACACCACTGGGGTGAGATTCACACACGGTTCTCTCCTGCTCTGCTCCCACCGTTGATGGAGAACTGGTCCCCCGGACAGGCTCAGGCCGTCACCTGCAGGACCCCCCCCACCTCCCCCCATTGCTGCTGTCGAGTTTGGTCGTGTCCAAGGCAAAGCCTCGTGTGAGCAGTGCCGGGTGCGAGGTGGGAAGGGGCGCAGAGTGTGCAGGCGTAGGAGGTGCACGCTGGGCCCACTTACCTGGCTGTGCGTTCCTCATGCCATGCAGCAGCTCGAGGTCGGGCTGCACCAGAGCTGGCGTCTCTCTGGTTCACCGGGGCTTAGGTGCTCCGACGGTGCTGGCCGTGTGGGATGTCGTGGTGACTCTGAGAATGTGGCCCTGAGAGTTTCTGCGTTACAGGCAGATCTGGAGTCCCTTCTGCAGATGCCAGGGGGGAGACCGCGTCACTTCAGCGAGGCGGCGGCCCTGCGAGCCTTCTGTCTGCACTGTCGCCTGAGCATTCACCTCCAGCACAAGGTGCGCCTGCGCCTGGCTCTGGTAGCGGGAGCAGCGTGTTGGCAAAGCCCTTCCCTTACCGATTTATCTTTTCGTTTTTGGACAGTTCTGCTCAGACGGAAAAGTTTATCTGTCCATTTTGGAAGACACTGGCTTTTGGTTAGAAAGCAAAGTTTTACCTTTTATTCAAGATCAAGAAGAAGAGTATCTGAAGCTTCACAAGGTCGTATATCAGCAAATTATCCAGGTTAGAAGTCTTAAGACACAGAAACCTTTCTCTTTACCAAGTTTGTTATGCATTTCAGGACTTCGTTTTCTATTTTAAAGTGGTAATTTTAGACATTAGTGTTATTCTTCTTAAACACTTACCGTGGCAGCTGTTAATCTAGAGTTTATCTGCTCACAAAGCATAATGTGCATAACTTTACGCGTTGCATGTACTAGGTCTTCAATTATGTTTTTGGAATTACATAAAATATGTCCCTAGATTTCTTATGGAAACAAAAATGAAAATTAATGTATCTTTATGGAAATTCCTTTATGAATATCTGCTTTGTGAGGTAACTGGTACGTCAGAAGTGAAAGGATCTGTTGGGCTGGACTTGCTCCCTTTTTTATGGCCTTTGTGGGTAAATTGCACATGTCTCTTCCAGACGTACCTGGCAGTGTGTAAAGACGTGGTTATGGTTGGCCTTGGCGACCGTGCGTTTCAGTTGCAGCTTCTGCAGAGGGCTCTTGGGATCATGCAGACAGGTACAGCTGCCTCGCTCACCAAGGGAGGTTCAGAGCCACAAACACCCGAACTCAGTCCCCCACACCACGCAGGTGTGGACTCTCACTTTTAAGAGACAGACATGTGACACACACTAGCATGTGCTGGAAAAGGGATTTCTGGCTGATGCAGCCAGGAAGTCCATAGCTGTTTCTGTGCCAGACATGGCACCTGGTGTCTCTGATGGGCCCTGGGGCTTCCTGTGCTCCGTGCATTGCTGGCAGAGCTCCCCACGGGCGGGCCCTTGCTGGCTACACGCCCCTGCGGATGGGGGAGGTCAGGAGCTATTGGTGATGTGCTCCCCCCAACCAGGGCCCCAGGGAAGGAGCGACATGGGGCAACCCCGCAGGGAAGGGGCCACATGGGTGACCCCGGCAGCTGACGATGTGGTACCAGAGTTACCACCTGCCTGGTGTTGGATCAGACCTGCTCAGCGAACGAGAGGGCAGCCCCTCAGCCACTGGGGCCAGGGCAGCAAGCGCCAGGCCGCCTGCGTAGTCTCTGGCAGAGGCAGGTGCTCCTGAGCTGGGGCCCACCTGGCCCCACCCCTGATGGCAGCCTCCTGCCCTGCCACCTCTGTGGCGCCTACCTGTTTCTGGATGGTTTTCACTCAACGTCCTAGTGCTACGTTTGGTTCTGAGATCTGTAGAAGCTTCAGCGTTTGATGTTTGCATTTCCTTAAGCTTAGATTATTTGCTAGAAGAGGTAGAAAATGATAACACTGAGTAAATTCAACATTAAGTTTTGAAAATTGGATTCAGTGAGTCTGTAGTTCAGTTTCTAGTTAATCCGTCTGTAGTCTCATTCCCATGGGCTTAAATATACCCCCAGCATCCTCCTCTC